GTTGACTCTGTGGAGTCCTTCCGCTTTCTGGGGAGCTGAACATCAGCTCTGAGATACTTCCCTCTGGCAGGAGGCTGCGGTCCATCAGGACTAAAACATCTCGCCATAAAAACTGTTTCTTCCCGGCGGCAGCTGGCCTCCTTAACAAGGCCCGGATTACCCACTGTCATTGACTCTTATACCCACCCTGTATATAAAGTATGCATTACATTAATGCACCCACGTTCTTCTGCACAGCTTTCTCTTTCTCTTCTTATCTTTATCTATTTATTTTTTGAAAGTACTTTATTTTTCTGTGTGATTTCTGTGTGATTTGAATTTGAATAATTGTATATTTGTATATTTGTATTTGTATATGTATATATTTTTATGCACCAACTGCACCAGGTCACATTCCTCGTAGGCATAAAAACCTACTTGGCAATAAACAAATTCTGATTCTGATTCTGATAATACATTTAGTTTAAATGCCCATCGGTCTGACTGAAGAAACAGAAAGGAGAAAAGTAAGAATAAAGAAAGAAAGGAGGGAATGAAAACATGGTCATTTACTTTTATGATCTTTAATGTTGATATTTTGGGCTCTTTGACTCAGTAATAAATAAATAATACTCTTTATTTACTTTTACAATAATAAATGTAGAAGCAGTTACTCACCTCATCATTCAGCTGTTTCCTCCACTCAGTCGTTCTCTAAATATTAGTTATTTCTGCTGATTTTTACTCTTGATGCTGCTGTGGGTTCAGTGATGTCCAACTTCTGCTTCACTTTAAATGACATGATGTTGTTGAGTACGTTTAACTTGAAACTTAAAATGGAAACGAAGTTTAGATCAGGGGCATTTGAATTCAAATGCAAATTTATGAAGTCCTTAAATGTGATTTTGTGTTTTATTTGTATGTGTATCCCTGAAGGCATTTGCACACTTGAAGGATGTGCAAGGTGACGTTAAGTTAATACTTTATTGTCTTTGGCTTCACCATAAAAACACACTACAAAATTACATATAAGACAATAGTAAAAAGAGTACAATCATATGTAATTTAAATACAGTTCAATTGCTCTATTACAAAAAGTACAAAATGCTAAATTCCTCAAACATAAAACAATTGTACAAATTAGGCTGTGAGTTAAGGGAGTGGCCCTGTACGACTGACTATATGTTTATATATAGATATATATATATATCATTTAACTCTTGGGGACCAATGTTTTCTTGTAGACATTTTTGGGGCTCATGGCGGTCTAGAGCCTTCCTGAGGGAAGCATCTCAAAATGTAGGTACAGTGTATGGGACCAATCACTTAATGTGGCAAACGCCTTCTCTTTGGTAATTAATACCTGCCTGCTGCTTAGTTAGTGTTTCATTGGTGAACTTCAACCAGTCAGATCAATCAACCATATAACACAGTCAATACTGCAGCTCTTGCAGGTTTGCTAGAAAATCTGTTTTCCCAATAGTAGGTTTGTATCTCTGCTGCCATCATGTGGTACCGCAATGCCCTGTGCTGATCCTGTCAATTGAAGTTTAAATACTTTTTGTAGTTGCTGTAAAGCATCTGTTTGTTTGCTGGTTCCAGATCACTTTCTAGCAGTTCTTGGTATATCTGCTCAGCTTTAGCCTGGCTGTGTTCATTGACTTTGCGTATATATTTGCGAGGTCTATTTTCTTCACAAGAGAAGAATGAGGATAAAGAGGTGAGTGCTCTCTCTATTCTGCTTCTATCCATTACATCTTGGTCAATATTCCTGAAATAAATCCATTTGTAGCAGAGTGCAACACATCTCTTCAGATAATGTACATTTGGATGTTTTTCCAGAGCCTCCTCTGCCAAAACAATGGCCTCATCTACAGATACGTAGTTTCTGTTCATTTCCAGCCAGCACATAACAAGGATTATATTCTTTTAGGTGGCTCACCTTGCCTTATACCAACTCTCTCCTCCTTCCCAGTCCATTCACTCACCTGAAGGCTGCAAGCAATCAGAGATTGTTGTCCTCAGTTTTGCTTCGTAGTGTGAATACTTCAGCAAGGGCTGGACTGGGACAAAAAAATCGTCCCGGGCATTTTGAGCCGAGACCGGCCCACCAGGTGTTGATGGAAAGACAATGAAGCCTATGAATTAAAACAAACTTTCTTGTGACAATGCTTGTACACTGTCTTCTTGGTGTATATGTAATTGTCTAATAAACTAACTGTCGGCCGCGGGTCTCTCCTCCTCCTGCCTCCCCTTCCCATTACTATTACTAGTACCATTAGAAAAAAAAAAAAAAAAAAAAGGCCTGTCCCAAAATCACCATCGGCCCACTGGGCAAATGCCCGGTATGCCCGATGGCCAGTCCAGCGGTGACTTCAGCACAGTATTGTTGCTGTAGCAGAAATGACTGTAAGGTTGGTGGTTCAAATTCCAATTCTGGCTAGTATCACAGCCTTTACTACTGCGACTGCTAAAACTGCCACAGCTATGGTCGATAATTTAGCGTTTTAAATTCCAAAACTTTAAAAAACTCAAAATAAATAACCCGACTTTCATATGTTCTTGCATCTGAAGGTCAATAATTTGACACTATTTTTCCTAAAAGGTTTCTAATGACTATATGTGACAGTAATACTAAGTTAAAAAGGGTCATGACGGATACAGGACAGATGTCAGTGCTCTAGATACAGGGCAGAGATCAGTGCTGTAAATATGATGTTTGTACTGTCCACTTCTTTCGTATAATAGTAACAATAATTATATTATTAATATTAACTTAATCTGTAAGTTTTAGTGACATACAATAATTAAAAGCAGCAATCAGACTCTATCAGTTCTCTATATTTAAATATTTTACTGTAATCTTTTCTTTCTCATCAAAATCTCAAATACTGTACATCCCTGGAGGCATTTTGCACACTTGCAACACAGATATAAAATCGTTAGGCTGATTATTGCTCTGGATGCTGCGATCGCTGCCACAATGTCAGTGGTGTCCAATAGCTGCTTCGCTTTAAATGCCCCACTTTTAGTGGCAGGCCCACCACAACACTCCAGTTAGTTTTGAGCATTTCAAGTTCCCTTTTTAGGAAACAAAAGTAAAGCCACGTCAACCTTGACTTTCGTTTACTACAAATGAAAACTTCTGGTATTTCTGTCACATTTCCTGCCAGTACTGCAAAACTGTGTAACCACATGAATGTCTCGTATAGCAACCACCTAAACAAACAACTTAAAGACGATTTCTGTGTGTACAAAATGCATATTTAATATGATTAGTATTGTATACAACTGAGACACATCCTTAACATACTTTTTATGAATATAATCAGTTGCATGTGGAGATAATATAAAGGTTATACATCAAATGAACGATTATTTTCGAATTTCAACTCTGGCTACTATCACAGCCTTTACTACTGCGACTGCTACAACTGCCACAGCTATGGTTGATAATTAAGCGATTCAAATTCCAAAACTTTAAAAAAACTCAAACTAATAAACCCGACTTTCATATGTTCTTGCATCTGAAGGTCAATAATTTGACACTATTTTTCTTACAATGTTTCTAATGACTTTATGTGACAATAATACATATATTATATATATATATATATATATATATAACACAATATAGTTAAATAGGGTCATGACGGATACAGGACAGATGTCAGTGCTCTAGATACAGGGCAGAGGTCAGTGCTGTAAATATAGGGCAGATGTTTGTACTGTCTACTTTATTCATATAATAGTAGCAATAATTATATTATTAATATTAACTTTATTTCATAAGTTTTAGTGACATACAATAATTAAAAGCAGCAATCAGACTATATCAGTTCTCTATATTTAAATATTTTACTGTAATTTTTTCTCAATTACTGTACATCCCTGGAGGCATTTTGCACACTTGACGTTAAGTTAATACTTGTGGTCTTTGGCTTCACCACAAATACACAATACCAAATTACATATAACACAATAGTAAAAAACAAAACAAAACATTACAATTATGTAATTAAAGAAACCCTTTAAGATTACACCCCCACTAATATTGTGCTCAGATTTAACATTGTATGAAATATCATAGTTATATGTTTCACTAAAGCAAATTCCACTTTAGTATAAATATCTCGTTCTAAAACTTTAAATACTGAAGAAAAACATATAGATCTTAAGAACAGACGGCTCCCCCACTTAGAGTCTCGACTCTGGGTTCACTCCTGTTTTCCCGCCTCCAGATGAAACAGTCCACCCTCCTCTAACCTGATTTACCTTTGCTTCCCTTTGCTAGTGAGTATGTATAGATTTCTTTATCTAAATGCAACACCTCCATTCTGGGTTTAGAACCAGTGCTTTTAAAAACATTGTGGCTCTTCCAGGTTTGTCAGAAACTTCTCTATTTCTCTACACATTCGGTTCCACTTTCTGCATTTAGTGCCCCTCAGAAAAGTGATGCTGCTTTTCCGATAGTAGGTTTGTTGTGGTATCTCTGCTGCTTTCATGTGATATTGTAGTGCCTTGTTTTTATCATCTCGATTGAATAAATGGTATGCGTAGTTGTTGTAAAGCATCTGTTTGTCTGCAGGTTGTAGATCACGTTCTAGCAGTTCCTGGTATATCTGCTCAGCTTTAGCCTGGCTGTACTTTGAGTTTGCGTACATCTTTGCGAGGTCTATTTTCTTCACAAGAGAAGACTGAGGGTAAAGAGAAATCACCTCCTCATGGACCCTGAGTGCTCTCTCTATTCTGCTTCTGTCCATTACGATTTGGTCAATATCCTTGAAACAACCCCATTTGTAGCAGAGTGCAACACAGCTCTTCAGATAACGTACATCTGGATGTTGTTTCAGAGCCTCCTCTGCCAAAGTAATGGCCTCATCTACAGATACATAGTTTCTGTAAACCCACAGTAATGCTTTCATACCGCTGTAGCTGCTCACAGGATTTATCAAAACCTGTCTGCCTAACTCACGTGCTTCATCTTCAATTCTTTCTCCTTTCTTACCACGTTGTTCAAGGTACTTAGCAGCGAGATACAAGTTCTCTGGATCCTGTTCTCTGGCAATTCTCAATTTCTGCAAGATGTCAGCCTCAGGCCCTTCGTTGTAAGAAGCACTCTCTAATGCTAAGACACGGCTGGTGTTCCACTCCACCATGTCCGGCTGCATCCTGATGGCTCTCTCAAAGTAATCTGCAGCCAGCAGCTTTTGGTCTGTGCTGAACTTCATCAGGGTCCAGGCTTTTTCTGCGTAGATCTCTGGATGGAGCTCGTCCTGGGATGGAGATGGATATTTATTCATCAGGGCGTCGACCTTTGACAGGTAATCCTGACTCTCTTCTTGTTCTCCCAGGTGGTGGTGCAGCCAAGCCAGGTTCCCGTAGTTCACCATTAACCAGGGACCCTTTTCTGCTCCTCTTATCTGGCGGAGGGCCTCTGTAGCCTGGTTGAACAAACTTTGGGCGTCTTGAGTGAATCCCAGCTTGTACTGAATGTACCCCCGCAGGTTGTAAATGTGACCCAGCCAGCTGTTTCCCTCCTCGGTGCCGATGTCCTCCAGCTTGTCCCTGACACGGAAAGGTTTGGAGCTGCTGGTGTCCAGGTCCCAGGTGAAGTGGCACTCTTGTGCCTTCAGTTTGGACTCTAGTGTTTGACTCTGAGCAGAACTGATGGAGGTTGAAAATAACAAATATTAAAACACATCATCAGTAGGTTCATACAATATGCTCTGACGTATGTTATGTCTAGTTAACCACTATTTATCTAATATGCAGGAAGGAAGATATAAAGGGAGTGAGCAGTATTGGATAGACAGGAAGGAAGTCGGGAAGGAAGGAGTTATTTAATATAGAGCAAGGAAATAAAGAAGGCTGCTCCAAAGAAAAAGTATGGTTGAAGGAGAGGAAAGTTAAAAAAAGCAAGAATAAAGTAAGAAAGGAGGGAATGAAAACATCATCATTGACTTGTAGGATCCTCAATATTAATATTTTGGACTCAATAATAAAACATTAAATGAATCATAATGGTACTTTATTTATTCTTACAATATGAAATGCAGAAGCAGCCACTCACCTCATCATTTATCTGTTTCCTCCACTCAGTAGGTAGATATTAGATCGTTGCTGCGATCGCTGCCACAATGTCAGTAATGTCTAATAGCTGCTTCGCTTTAAATGCCCCACTTTTAGTGGCAGGCCCACCACAACACTCCAGTGAGTTTTCAAGTTCCCTTTCTTAGTAAACGAAGGTAAAGCCACGTTAACCTTGACTTTCGTTTACTACAAATGAAAACTTCTGGTATTTCTGTCACATTTCCTGCCAGTACTATAAAACTGTGTAACCACCTGAATGTCTCGTATAGTAACCACCAAAAACAAACAACTTAAAGACCATTTCTGCGTGTACAAAATGCATATTTAATATGATTAGTATTGTATACAACTGAAACACATGCTTAACATACTTTTTATGAATACAATCAGTTGCATGTGGAGATAATATTCAGGTTATACATCAAATTAACTATTACATCATCCACCAGAGAGTTTGATTTCCCACAGCTCCAAAGCTTACAGCAAAGCAAATGTCATATACAGAGTATTATTGGGAGTATATCTATGTTCACAGGGTCCTCAGTTCCTCAGTTCATTATTCTGTTAACACACATTAACCCTTGTACTGCGGTCAAAAGCCTCCCTCACCCTGAGAATATAGATGTATTTAGATATATTGGTCACTAGATGAAGCCAAATGAACCACTTGAGTCATCGTGGCTGACATTTCTTTAACTCTATTAATGTCTTTAACAAATGTTTCTCTGGTTTACTCATGATTTGTTTTCATTTTATTGTTCAGTTTGCCTCCATTTACTTGTACTTTCCCCTATAGACCTTCTACATGTGTCAGTGTGCTGACATTGAGAAGGAGGCCTGAATCAGAGCTTTCCAGATGCCTTTTGGTATTTGTAGTCCTCTAAGCCAGTGGTTTTCAAACTGGTGTCCAGGGACCAACAGGGGTCCTGGAGTGAGTTGCAGGGGGTCCCCAGCAGAAGGAAGAATATTAGATTTGAAGTTTTATGACATTTTCTGGAAGTTGGAACAGCGAGGGAAGACATACGACTGGAGGTTTTTATTGATTGTAATTGAAAGTGATCCTAGTTTATGGAGGCTTTATTATATTCATACCTAAAGTGAAGCAAAAGACAAAATCATGTCAAATTGGGGGGTCTGTGGTCTAATGTGAATCTATTGTGGGGGTCCCTGACATGGAAAAGGTTTGGGAAACCCAGCCCTAACCTGAACCCTGGGAACATAAGGACCCTGTATTATACTCTCATATTAACTTTAAAATATAGTAAATCAACACAACAGGAATAAAGGAAACATTTTGATTACAAGAGTTTAAAAAAAAGAACATCTGATCAAAAACATGTAATTAACTGAATGACATCATCCACAGTGGATGGTAACACTGGCAAGCAAGTAGCATCAGCAAACATTGTGTTAATAAGCAATCTGCATGTTTCTCCAACAGTTTATGTGATTTTGTGTCCTGATCAATTTGAAGTCTGATCGTGTTAACTAACAAATCAGTTTGTTTCAACAGAATCTCTATCAAAGGATTCATTTGCAAGGTGAAGTCAATCTGCCCTAAATCGGTCCAAAATTCTACGTTTTCCAATTGTGTATGTAATCAAATTAATATACAGATTTCTTTAGTTAATGCATCACCTACTGGTGTTCTGCATTTAAACCAGTGCTGTTAAAAACACTATGGCTCTTGCAGGTTTGACAGGAACTCCTCTATTTCTCTAGACATTCGGTTCCTGCTTCTGCCTTTAATCTTCTCCAGGACTTTGATGCTGTTCTTACGAAAGAAGGATTGTTGCGGTATCTCTGCCGCCTTCATGTGATATTTTATTGACCTGTTGCGATCCTGTCGATCAAAGTTTAAATACTTTGCGTAGTAATGGTAAATCATCTGTTTGACTGCAGGTTCCAGATCACGTTTTAGCTGTTCTTGGTATATCTGCTCAGCTTGAGCCTGGCCGTGACGTGACTTTGCGTATATATTTGCGAGGTCTATTTCCTTCACAAGAGAAGACTGAGGGTAAAGAGAAATCACCTCCTTAACGAGACTGATTGCTTTCTCTATCATGCTTTGATTTGGGCGACTATCCCAGGAAAAAATGATCTTCCATTTGTAGTAGATTGCAACACTTCTCTTCAGATAACGTACATCTGGATGTTTTTCCAGAGCCTCCTCTGCCAATTCAATGGCCTCATCTACAGATACATCGTTTTTGTAAACCCTTAGTACTGCTTTCATACCGCTGTAGCTGCCGACAGGGTTTCTCAAAACCTGTCTGCCTAACTCACGTGCTTCATCTTCAATACTTTCTCCTTTCTTACCAAGTTGTTCAAGGTATTTAGCAGCGAGATACAAGTTCTCTGGATCCTGTTCTCTGGCAATTCTCATTTCCTCCAAGATATCAGCCTCCAGCCCTGTGTCGCTGTGCTTAAAGGCACTCACAAATGCTAAGACACGGCTGCTTTTCCACTCCACCATGTCTGGCTGCATCCTGATGGCTCTCTCAAAGTAATCTGCAGCCAGCAGCTTTTGGTCTGTGCTGAACTTCATCAGGGTCCAGGCTTTTTCTGCGTAGATCTCTGGATGGAGCTCGTCCTGGGATGGAGATGGATATTTTTTTCATCAGGGCGTCGACCTTTGACAGGTAAGCCTGACTCTCTTCTTGTTCTCCCAGGTGGTGGTGCAGCCAAGCCAGGTTCCCGTAGTTCACCACTAACCAGGGACCCTCTTCTGCTCCTCTTGTCAGGCGGAGGGCCTCTGCAGCCTGGTTGAACAAACTCTGGGCGTCTTCAGTGAATCCCAGCTTGTACTGAATGTACCCCCGCAGGTTGTAAATGTGACCCAGCCAGCTGTTTCCCTCCTCAGTGCCGATGTCCTCCAGCTTGTCTCTGAGACAGAAAAGTTTGGACCTGCCAGGGTTCAGCTCCCAGGTGAAGTGGCACTGCAGGGCCTCCAGTTTGGCCTCCAGTGTTTGACTCTGAGCAGCACTGATGGAGGATAAAAATAACAAAGTTAAAACACATACGCAGTAATATAGTGTCCTTCATGTTGTGCTATGTTCAGGGTAATGTTCTCATTTCATGTGGAGGAAGAAGACACTCACCTCATCATCCAGCTGGTAGTTTTCTAAATATGAGCCTCTGGTTTCTGCTCTTTATATAGCTGCTGCTTTGGGTGCGGCAGTGTAAAATCACTAATGTTCAACTCCTGCAGAGCTGTAAATGATTAGATCCAATCAGGTCAGGTCGGGCACTGGATTCTGACTTTCTTTTCCCACTAATAGAAACCTACAACACCGTTTCTGTCATACTGACACAACAGATCTGCACAGAGCTCTGATTATCAGACTTTTATATTTCTACATATAAAATCTAAACTTTGTCCCTTTTATCAGCAGGTATCACACAAGTCTCAATCCTTGCAATCCCAACACGCCCTTCAAGTCTATAATAATATGATGATGTCTATTTTATAATATAACAGAACAATGTAACCTTATGAAAGAAAATGGAAATCATAATTTTTTTTGTCTTCTGCACAATACAAACTGATGTATTTAAAAATTGTAATCCTGCTAATAATCCCGATTTTTACTAAATGTAACTGTAATCTGATTATGACTTCTTCTGAAATTATTTCCGCATATATATATAATGGAATAAACTGGTTTGGGGAGTAACAGATTACATGTAACTGAGTTAATCAGGATACAAAACACTGTAATCAGCAACAGAAAAAAAGACAATCAGATTACAGTTACATTTAGTAAAAATGGGGATTATAAGCAGGGTTACAATTTTTAAATACATCAGTTTTTATTGGGCAGAAGACAAAAAAAATGTGATTTCTATTTTCCTTTATAAGGTTACACTGTTCTGTTGTCTTATAAAATACACATATTATTATTATAGACTTGAAGGGCGTGTTGGGATTACAAGGTTTGAGACTTGTGTGATACCTGCTGATAAAGGGGACAAAGTTTAGATTTTATATGTAGAAATATCAAAGTCAGATAATCAGAGCTCCGTGCAGATCTGTTGTGTCAGTATGACAGAGACGGTGCTCTAGGTTTCTATTAGTTGGAAAAGAAAGTCTGAATCCAGTGCCCGACCTGACCTGACTGGATCTGGAAGTATGATTTTTGAGTTGACCTTTTGTGATAAAGGTAATGATACAACGATAATAAAGTTAATGTTTTTAATGAGTTATGAACATTTACTGAGGTCAGTATTGTAAGATGAGATTTATTTTGTGAATTACTTTACCATGTTTATTGAATTATTGCATAAATTAATTAAGGGTAATTACATATATAAGCATATTTGTATTCTGTTCTGCAATGTAGATGAGGAACTACATAAGGTGCATGTACCTGGAAGGTTACCAATGGTTAAGATTGGCGGAGTGATATGATGTTAAGAGAGATCAGTTGTCCTACTGTTAAAAACGGACATTAAAGTGGATCGACTAACCAAGATGAAGTTGTCCCCGTGCTCTTGCTTCACCCACGACCCAGAAGGTAGTTAATCTATTGTTAACGCTAAGAGTAACCAGCGTTACAGTATCATTTATTGATGTAATTCAATAATTAGTTTGATGATAAAGTTACAATAACTTTTACCATGAAGCAACGTCTCAACTGTTTGGTAGAGGCCCATATTTCATTAGCTTTTTTATTAGTGAGGTCAATAAAGGGTTCAAGTCAAAGTTAAGTTGCAAGTGTTTTTCAAAATGTTGTAGAGTCTAAATCAGATTTATGACTGGAGTCTGATTCATATGAAGGTTCCTGAGTGGTTTTGACTCTGTTGTGGGCGGTCAAAAAATAAACCCAGAATTCAGCTCATACCCACCAAAAGGATGAACAACATGAAGAAGATTCCTCAGTGTACATGATGTATATTTCATTTTATTGTACAACTCAAACACAACGTAATATAATGTATATGAATATGATCAGTTCGGTCTTGTGATAATATTCAGGTTATGCATCAAATTAACTATTACATCACCAATCAGAGTTTTATTTTCCAAAGCTCACAACAAAGAGAAATTCCTTAGAGAGTATTATGTTCTTATATAAACTTAAAATATGATACTAAAGAAAACAAACACGTCAGGAATATAGTAAATGCTATGGTTACATGAGAGTTAAGAAAAGAACATTTGATCAAAATCTATGTTAATTAATCAGGATTATTTATGACATTTGAATATATAAATAGTGGATGTTAACTCCAGCAAGGTAGAAAGTGGCATTAGCAAACATTGTGTTAATAAACAATCTGCTCGTTCCTATGACAGTTTATGTGATTTTTTGTTTGTATGTGTAACCCTGGAGACATTCATTCCCACCAGGTAAACATTAAGACCGATCAAACTGTACCAGAGAATGAAAGTATAATAATCTACACATCTACACACAATATTTGGGTCTATCTAGGATAAGGTATTCAAATTAATATACAGGTTTCTTTTCCTTTTCCTGGGTTTAGAATCAGTGCTGTTAAAAACATTGTGGCTTTTGCAGGTTTGACAGAAACTTCTCTACTTCTCTGCACATTCTGTCTTTCTTTCTGTCTCTAATCTGAGTCAAAACTCTGATGCTTCTCTCACGAAAGGAGGACTCATGTGGTATCTCTGCTGCCCTCATGTGGTACTGTGTTGCCCTGTCGCTGTCGTTTAGATGATAGAATAAATGGTATGCGTAGTTGGTGTAAAGCATCTGTTTGTCTGCAGGTTCCAGATCACTTTCTAGCAGTTCCTGGAATATCTGGTCAGCTTTAGCCTGGCTGTACTTTGAGTTTATGTACATCTTTGCGAGGTCTATTTTCTTCACAAGAGAAGACTGAGGGTAAAGAGAAATCACCTCCTCATGGAGACTGAGTGCTCTCTCTATTCTGCTTCTATCCATTACTTCTTGGCCAATATCCCTGAAATAAATCCATTTGTAGCAGAGTGCAACACAACTCTTCAGATAACGTACATCTGGATGTTTTTCCAGAGCCTCCTCTGCCAAAGTAATGGCCTCATCTACAGATACATAGTTTCTGTAAACCCACAGTAATGCTTTCATACCGCTGTAGCTGCTCACAGGATTTATCAAAACCTGTCTGCCTAACTCACGTGCTTCTTCTTCAATACTTTCTCCTTTCTTACCACGTTGTTCAAGGTATTTAGCAGCGAGATACAAGTTCTCTGGATCCTGTTCCTTGGCAATTCTCAATTTCTGCAAGATGTCAGCCTCAGGCCCTTCGTTGTAAGAAGCACTCACTAATGCTACGACACGGCTGGTGTTCCACTCCACCATGTCCGGCTGCATCCTGATGGCTCTCTCGAAGTAATCTGCAGCCTGCCGCTTTTGGTCTGCGCTGAACTTCATCAGGGTCCAGGCTTTTTCAGCGTAGATCTCTGGATGGAGCTCGTCCTGGGATGGAGATGGATATTTTTTCATCAGGGAGTCGACCTTTGACAGGTAAGCCTGACTCTCTTCTTGTTCTCCCAGGTGGTGGTGCAGCCAAGCCAGGTTCCCGTAGTTCACCACTAACCAGGGACCCTCTTCTGCTCCTCTTGTCAGGCGGAGGGCCTCTGTAGCCTGGTTGAACAAACTCTGGGAGTCTTCAGTGAACCCCAGCTTGTACTGAATGTACCCCCGCAGGTTGTAAATGTGACCCAGCCAGCTGTTTCCCTCCTCAGTGCCGATGTCCTCCAGCTTGTCTCTGACACGGAAAAGTTTGGACCTGCCAGGGTTCAGGTCCCAGGTGAAGTGGCACTGCAGGGCCTCCAGTTTGGACTCCAGTGTTGTTGCACCCTGAACAGTACTGATAAAGAATAAACATGTCAACTAGAGAATGCAGCTATTGAAGAAAAAAGTAGGTGTGTATGTTAGAGGTTTAAAGGCTGACGCTAAACTGCATTAATATTGCAGGACAGCTGTACTTGCAAGATCACAAAATTGGTAGAATCTATCTACTACCTGCCTTCAATCTATGTGTTACTGGACCAATCAGTGTTTTGTGTGAAGGTACTCGCAGCTATGTCGTGAGCTACAGGCCTGGTTTAACGCTAGATGTGTGTGACGTGTGTGAGGTGACTGTTTGCTCAAAATGGTGGTTAGTGTAGATTCTGCTCGAATCAGTTATATCAGAACTGAATATCTTCTTTGAAAGAACAATGAAGAACGGCACTGAAGGCTTTTCTTGATGGAAAAGACTTCAGTAAGCAACGAGCGAAACGCCTTTTTCTCTTGCTATCTGCGCCAGCGGACATTGCACAGCAGAGACTGTTTGGACTTCAGAACCACAATCCTGATCAGCCCGGCTCACAGAACCGCCAGCTGACCGACGCAGCTCACCCTCTTCATCTCCATTGGACTGTCGGTAACGTACTGGGCCTATTGTTAATGTTACTGATGTGTTTTATTCAGGTTATTGTATTGTGTTGTTGATTTGATTAACTCAGGTTACTGTAGTAACTATAGTCTTTCAGTTCGTGCTAAGGTGATGTAAGTTTAATATTAAGCGTTACACAGACAACGTCTTTGCATGCAACTAACTCTCTTTTAACGGCACCGTTGATCTAAGATCACACATATTTTTGGGGCTCATGGCGGTCTAGAGCCTTCCTGAGGGAAGCATCTCAAAATGTAGGTACAGTGTATGGGACCAATCACTTAATGTGTCAAACGCCTTCTCTTTGGTAATTAATACCTGCCTGCTGCTTAGTTAGTGTTTCATTGGTGAACTTCAACCAGTCAGATCAATCAACCATATAACACAGTCAATACTGCAGCTCTTGCAGGTTTGCTAGAAAATCTGTTTTCCCAATAGTAGGTTTGTATCTCTGCTGCCATCATGTGGTACCGCAATGCCCTGTGGTGATCCTGTCAATTGAAGTTTAAATACTTTGTGTAGTTGCTGTAAAGCATCTGTTTGTTTGCTGGTTCCAGATCACTTTCTAGCAGTTCCAGGTATATCTGCTCAGCTTTAGCCTGGCTGTACTTTGATTTTGCGTATAAATTTGCAAGGTTGATTTTTTTCATTATGTGTTGGTCAATATCCCTGAAATAAATCCATTTGTAGCAGAGTGCAACACATCTCTTCAGATAACGTACATTGGGATGTTTTTCCAGAGCCTCCTCTGCCAAAAGAAGAAGAAGATATACTTTATTGATCCCCTAGGGGAAAACTGTTCTTTTCACTCTTTTTTGTATACACACACACACACACAAACACACACACAGAGGCTGAAATGCACACTACATGCACTTGTGGCACCTCTCCAGCTACACACTCTCTGTGGGACTGTGGGACTTGAATCGGCGACCCTCCGGTTCCCAAGCCAAGTCCCTACACACTGAGCTACTGCCGCCCCAAACAATGGCCTCATCTACAGATACATAGTTTCTGTTAATTTCCAGCCAGCACATAACATGGATTATATTCTTTTAGGTGGCTCACCTTGCCTCATACCAACTCTCTCCTCCTTCCCAGTCCATTTACTCACCTGATTGCTGCAAGCAATCACAGATTGTTGTCAGTGTTGCTTCGTAGTGTGAATACTTCAGCACAGTATTGTTGCTGTAGCACAAATGACTGTAAGCTATGGTTGATAATTAAGCGTTTCAAATTCCAACCCTTTAAAAAATTAACTCTCCCGTATGCCTCCAGGACCCTGAGGCGTGCAGGTATGATTGTGCCTAACCCCTCCCACCCCAAACACAAACTCTTTGAAACACTTCCCTCTGGCAGGAGGCTGCAGTCCATCAGGACCAAAACCTCATGCCACAAGAACAGTTTCTTTCCGTCTGCAGCAGTTCTCATTAACAAGGCCCAGAACCCCCACTGACACTGACTCTTAAACCTACCCTGTATACATGCATTATATTAATGCACTCCCGTTTGTTGTTTTTTTTATCTTGCACATTGTAAATATCATTCTTGTACAGCTTTAGATCTTTCTATCTTTATCTTTACCTTTATTTATCTTTAAAAAGTACTTTTTTGTGATTTTTTTATGTACCAATGCACAGAGACAAGACAATTACCATGTATGTGTAAAAACTTACATGGCAATAAACCTGATTCTGATTCTGAAAAAGTGATGTATTTTAAAATTGTAATCCTGCTGATAATCCCCATTTTTAGGGGCAGAATTTAGCTTGTACCCACCAAAAGGATGAAAACATGAAGAAGATTCCTCAGTGTACATGATGTCTATTTAATTTTATTAGTATTGTACAACTCAGACACAACGTAACATAATTTATATAAATACAATCAGTTCTGTCTTGTGATAATATTTCAGGTTATACATCAAATTAACTTTTACATCAACAATCAGATTTTAATTTTTCAAAGATCACAACAAAACAACTTCCATATAAAGTATTATGTTCTTATATAAACTTAAAATATGATACTAAAGAAAACAAACACATCAGGAATATAGTAAATGCTATGGTTACATGAGAGTTAAGAAAAGAACATCTGACCAAAACCCATGTTAATAAATCAGGATTATTTATGACATTTAAATATATAAACAATAGATGTTAACTCCAGCAAGGTAGGAAGTAGCATTAGCAAACATTGTGTCAATAAACAATCTGCAAGTTTCTTTTGCAGATTTTGTTTGTTTGTGTAACCGTTGAGACATTCATTCACACCAGGTAAACCGATCAAACTGTACATACGTCTTGCGTCTTGTGTGAAGATACTCGCAGCTATGTCGTGAGCTACAGGCCTGGTTTAACGCTAGATGTGTGCTAGATTGTTTGCTCAAAATGAAAGATTCTGCTCGAATCAGTTATATCAGAACTGAATTTCTTCATTGAAAGAACAATGAAGAACGACACTGAAGGCTTTTCTTGATGGAAAAGACTTCAGTAAGAGTTTGACAACATCATATGGTTCATTGATCTGATTGGAAGTTGAATGTTTGCTAATGATAGACAGAGGAAAGTCTCTGCCCTTTTCCAAACAGTTTCCGACAACTTCCCAAATGGTTCTGTGTAACAAACCACAAGGCGCAGTCAGGTTCAAACTGCATTTTTGGCTTAAAATGTTGAATAAAACATATAAAGTATGAAAAATGTGGAATATTTTAAGGTTTGTTGAAAAGCTGACACTAATCTGAATTGCTGGCTTTAATTTGTATAAAGAAGCAACCAAAGGAGGATTTTAGTTGGAAAAACAGAAAAGAGTGGAAGTAAATGGGAATGAAAAGTTGAATAAATATAAAGAGTGTTTATGACTTAATGAATCTTTGCTGGGTTGCTGGGTTTAATTTATGAGGAAGCAGATGAAGGTGTATTCTAGTTGGGAGACAGTCTAATTACTATGAAAGTGAAAAGATGAATAAATCTCTTATTGTGTTTAAGCTTTTTAAAATTATACGTTTTGAATTTGAGTTCAAGAGTTGAATAATGCTTAAAAAAGTGAAAATGTCCTAAAATCTGTGTGTGTGTGTGTGTGTGTGTGTGTGTGTGTGTGTGTGTGTGTGTGTGTGTGTGTGGAAACTGCACTTATTAGCTCATTTTAATCAGTTATGTGTTTCCAACTCCATTTTAAGGTTGCCATGCTGACGACACACTTTTCATACTGCTTCTACCTCAACGATATTAACTCCTATCTCCCAAATGTTGATATCATAAGAAACAGGAGACCCTGCTGAACATAGTTTGTGACATTTGAATGTGTTGGGTCTAAAATTAGAGCACAGAAGCAGTTAATCTCTCAGGTAATCTAGCAGTCAGTGCGGCAGCTGGTTGGTGCTCCTGTGACTTGGAGGCTCATGGAGCATAAAGTGTAAATGCGTTTGCACACTAAGGGCTCTATCTTGCACTCAGCGCAATTGACTTTGTACACTGGCGCTTGTATAATTCCTATTTTGCACTCGACGCACATTGGAATTTTCCCTCCACCGACGCACGTCCTTAAATTAGAGAATGAATTTGCGCTCCGGGGGGCGGTTCAGCGAAAAGAGGAGGCGTGTTCCTGCGCAAACGTTCCCTGGTGCTATTTTGCTGTTTCAGAAAACAATTCCGCCACAGACCAGGAAAAACCTAGTCTAAAGTCAGTGGCGCTTATTCAGATGCTATTTTAAGGGCGCAGACTTGAGGGGATTAGACGGGCATTAATACTTTGCCGCATCCCGGACAGCTCCCACTCCAGCATGTCAAACCCGGTTTGCTGCAGGAACGGGAGGTCCTCCGGCGTGTAGTGGGTCTGGATCCTCTGCACCTTGGTGTTTGCGCCGCTCCCTCCTCAGCTGGCCCTTGCGCACTGCTCGGCCCGTGCGCACTGCTCCCGAGGCCAGGGTCTTCTTCCTGCGGAGCTGCGTTACATTGTTTTGATTTATTGTATGGCTGTGTTACATTTATTTCATGTCAATAATGTCACTACTCTGTATTTTACGGCTCTGACGAGAACGTCGGTCTCCTCGGCTGTGAACCGCTCCTGGCGTGCGCCTGGCCAATCCGCCGTTATAATAGAATGGCAATCCGCCATGGAACAAGCGCGCCTGCTTTTAAAGGGAATGTGAGATGACGCTCTGATTGGTTTGTTGCATTGGGGGGGAGATTTTTTTCCCCCGGCATAATAGAACAGGCCGAGTCCGCCCACAAAGCTACTTGCGTTTTGAGTTTGATACTTGCGCTTCAGATCGGCAAGATAGGGGCCCTTTGTCTCTTAAGTCTTTATTTAAATCCGTAATCCAATAAAAATCGTTATGCACAAAAACTTTGCACACTGAGTGTAATACGCTTTATTATTCTAGTTGTTAAAATTCACAGTACTACTCGTCACACAATGATGGTTGTTTTGTCGTCTTCTCACTTGAAAGTAGAAAAAGAAAAAAGAAAATATATTAAATAATGATGGACAAAAGTCGGTTTGTAAACACACAACTTGAGGTCATATTTATTTTTTAATTGCAACAATTTAAAATGAAAAAATAAAAACTTTGAGTGCAACAGCCTTATGTCTATTTGCTTCCATACATATCAGCAACCAGCACAAATCTTCATATGTTTTGATATAAAATGATTTATGTGGAGTGAAAATTGTGGGAGTTTTAGGTGACCGCACAGCTTCTCTGCAGGTCTGAAAATTCAGAAACATGAACAGAAATAAAACAATCTCAGAAGGTCAGAAAATTGCATGAAATTTGAACTGCGATTGTATAAAAAGTTTGAAAGTTAAATTAACATAAGGTTTGATTGGAGTTTTTATGGGAAGAGGTTGAAGACGAGTGGGTTTAAAAGGTTTTCTAATTGACTTCCATTGTATCTAAGCTTTAAAGTTGAATAGTTTGAAAACCTTTAACAGGATTTAAAAGTTAAATAAAATCTAAAATGTATGAAAGATGTGAAACATTTGAAAGTTTGAATGAAGTTTCTGGCTGAAAGAGTTCTGTTCATTTGTTTGAGTGGGGAAAACCTGTAATATTTCATAAAGTATAAATGTTATCAAAAATCTGAATGGATCCGATAATGTCCTGATTGAGCTGAACAGTTAGATGATTGAATTAATTGCCTATGTTTAAAAATAAGGAAGGAAAAGAGTGCGAAAAAAGAAAAACTTCCAGCATTCACACCCAAACATTTAAACACATCATCAGGTTAATGCATTATGCTCTGAGTCTAATTCATAAAATCAAAATTAAACTAAAACAAAATAGATGGATTTAGCATTTCTCTTCCAGGATTATATTCCTGGCAGTGTGGGATAAAATGTTCTGAAAATAATCAATCAATAATAATTGTAAAGTAAAAGTAGAGAGATAATACATTTAGTTTAAATGCCCATCGGTCTGACTGAAGAAACAGAAAGGAGAAAAGTAAGAATAAAGAAAGAAAGGAGGGAATGAAAACATGGTCATTTACTTTTATGATCTTTAATGTTAATATTTTGGGCTCTTTGACTCAGTAATAAATAAATAATACTCTTTATTTACTCTTATAATAAAAAATGTAGAAGCAGTTACTCACCTCATCATTCAGCTGTTTCCTCCACTCAGTCGTTCTCTAAATATTAGTTATTTCTGCTGATTTTTACTCTTGATGCTGCTGTGGGTTCAGTGATGTCCAAATTCTGCTTCACTTTAAATGACATGATGTTGTTGAGTACGTTTAACTTGAAACTTAAAATGGAAACGAAGTTTAGATCAGGGGCATTTGCATTCAAATGCAAATGTATAAAGTCCTTAAATGTGATTTTGTGTTTTATTTGTATGTGTATCCCTGAAGGCATTTGCACACTTGAAGGATGTGCAAGGTGACGTTGAGTTAATACTTTATTGTCTTTGGCTTCACCATAAAAACACACTACAAAATTACATATAAGACAATAGTAAAAAAACAGTACAATCATATGTAATTTAAATACAGTTCAATTGCTCTATTACAAAAAGTACAAAATGCTAAATTCCTCAAACATAAAACAATTGTACAAATTAGGCTGTGAGTTAAGGGAGTGGCCCTGTACGACTGACTATATATTTATATATTGATATATATATCATTTAACTCTTGGGGACCAATGTTTTCTTGTAGACATTTTTGGGGCTCATGGCAGACCAGAGCCTTCCTGAGGGAAGCATCTCAAAATGTAGGTACAGTGTATGGGACAAATCATTTAATGTGTCAAACGCCTTCTCTTTGGTAATTAATACCTGCCTGCTGCTTAGTTAGTGTTTCATTGGTGAACTTCAACCAGTCAGATCAATCAACCATATAACACAGTCAATACTGCAGCTCTTGCAGGTTTGCTAGAAAATCTGTTTTCCCAATAGTAGGTTTGTATCTCTGCTGCCATCATGTGGTACCGCAATGCCCTGTGGTGATCCTGTCAATTGAAGTTTAAATACTTTGTGTAGTTGCTGTAAAGCATCTGTTTGTTTGCTGGTTCCAGATCACTTTCTAGCAGTTCTTGGTATATCTGCTCAGCTTTAGCCTGGCTGTGTTCATTGACTTTGCGTATATATTTGCGAGGTCTATTTTCTTCACAAGAGAAGAATGAGGATAAAGAGGTGAGCGCTCTCTCTATTCTGCTTCTATCCATTACATCTTGGTCAATATTCCTGAAATAAATCCATTTGTAGCAGAGTGCAACACATCTCTTCAGATAACGTACATTTGGATGTTTTTCCAGAGCCTCCTCTGCCAAAACAATGGCCTCATCTACAGATACGTAGTTTCTGTTCATTTCCAGCCAGCACATAACAAGGATTACATTCTTTTAGGTGGCTCACCTTGCCTTATACCAACTCTCTCCTCCTTCCCAGTCCATTCACTCACCTGAAAGCTGCAAGCAATCAGAGATTGTTGTCCTCAGTTTTGCCTCGTAGTGTGAATACTTCAGCAAGGGCTGGACTGGGACAAAAAATCGTCCCGGGCATTTTGAGCCGAGACCGGCCCACCAGGTGTTGATGGAAAGACAATGAAGCCTATGAATTAAAACAAACTTTCTTGTGACAATGCTTGTACACTGTCTTGTTGGTGTTTATGTACTTGTCTAATAAACTAACTGTCGGCCGCGGGTCTCTCCTCCTCCTGCCTCCTCTTCCCATTACTATTACTAGTACCATTAGAAAAAAAAAAAAAAAAAAAGGCCTGTCCCAAAATCACCATCGGCCCACTGGGTATGCCCGATGGCCAGTCCAGCGGTGACTTCAGCACAGTATTGTTGCTGTAGCACAAATGACTGTAAGGTTGGCGGTTCAAATTCCGACTCTGGCTACTATCACAGCCTTTACTACTGCGACTGCTACAACTGCCACAGCTATGGTCGATAATTAAGCGTTTAAAATTCCAAAACTTTAAAAAACTCAAAATAAATAACCTGACTTTCATATGTTCTTGCATCTGAAGGTCAATAATTTGACACTATTTTTCTTGCCATTTACAAGGTTTCCAATGAGTCTATGTGACAATAATACATATTATATATATAAACACAATATAGTTAAATAGGGTGATGACGGATACAGGACAGATGTCAGTGCTGTAGATACAAGGGCAGAGGTCAGTGCTGTAAATATAGGGCAGATGTTTGTACTGTCTACTTCATTCATATAATAGTAACAATAATTATATTATTAATATTAACTTCATTTCATAAGTTTTAGTGACATACAATAATTAAAAGCAGCAATCAGACTCCATCAGTTCTCTATATTTAAATATTTTACTGTAATGTTTTCTTTCCCATCAAAAAATACTCAAATACTGTCCATCCCTGGAGGCATTTGGACACTTGACGTTAAAGTAATACTTTATTGTCTTTGGCTTCACCACAAATACACAATACAAAATTACATATAACACAATAGTAAAACAAAAAACATTACAATTATGTGATTAAAGAAACCCTTTAAGATTACACCCCCACTAATATTGTGCTCAGATTTAACAATGTATGAAATATCATAGTTTTATGTTTCACCAAAGCAAATTCCACTTTAGTATAAATATCTCGTTCTAAAACTTAAAATACTGAAGAAAAAAAATAACCCATATAGATCTTAAGAAGAGACGGCTCCCCCACTTAGAGTCTCGACTCCGGGTTCACTCCTGTTTTCCCGCCTCCAGACGACACAGTCCACCCTCACCTGTCCCCAAACCTGATTTACCTTTGCTTCCCTTTGCTAGTGAGTATGTATAGATTTCTTTATCTAAATGCAACACCTCCATTCTGGGTTTAGAACCAGTGCTTTTAAAAACACTGTGGCTCTTCCAGGTTTGTCAGAAACTTCTCTATTTCTCCACACATTCGGTTCCACTTTTTGCCTTTAGTGCTCTTCAGAAAAGTGATGCTGCTTTTCCGATAGTAGGTTTGTTGCGGTATCTCTGCTGCTTTCATGTGATATTGCATTGCCTTGTTTTTATCATTTCGATTGAATAAAACGTGTGCGTAGTTGTTGTAAATCATCTGTTTGTCTGCAGCTTCTAGATCACTTTTTAGCAGTTCCTGGTATATCTGCGCTTAACCTGGCTGTACTTTGAGTTTGCGTATATATTTGTGAGGTCTATTTTCTTCACAAGAGAAGAATGAGGGTAAAAGAAATCACCTCCTCATGGAGACTGATTGCTCTCTCTATCATATTTTGATTTGGGCGATTATCCCTGGAAAAAAATATCTTCCATTTGTAGCAGAGTGCAACAGAGCTCTTCAGATAACGTACAACTGGATGTTGTTTCAGAGCCTCCTCTGCCAAATCAATGGCCTCATCTGCAGATAAATACTTTCTGTAAACCCACAGTAATACTTTCATACCGCTGTAGCTGCTCACAGGATTCCTCAAAACCTGTCTGCCTAACTCACGTGCTTCATCTTCAATCCTTTCTCCTTTCTTACCACGTTGTTCAAGGTATTTAGCAGCGAGGTACAAGTTCTCTGGATCCTGTTCTTTGGCAATTCTCAATTTCTCCAAGATGTCAGCCTCAGGCCCTTCGTTGTAAGAAGCACTCACTAATGCTAAGACACGGCTGGTGTTCCACTCCACCATGTCCGGCTGCATCCTGATGGCTCTCTCAAAGTAATCTGCAGCCAGCAGCTTTTGGTCTGTGCTGAACTTCATCAGGGTCCAGGCTTTTTCAGCGTAGATCTCTGGATGGAGCTCGTCCTGGGATGGAGATGGATATTTATTCATCAGGGCGTCGACCTTTGACAGGTAAGCCTGACTCTCTTCTTGTTCTCCCAGGTGGTGGTGCAGCCAAGCCAGGTTCCCGTAGTTCACCACTAACCAGGGACCCTTTTCTGCTCCTCTTGTCTGGCGGAGGGCCTCTGTAGCCTGGTTGAACAAACTCTGGGCGTCTTCAGTGAACCCCAGCTTGTACTGAATGTACCCCCGCAGGTTGTAAATGTGACCCAGCCAGCTGTATCCCTCCTCGGTGCCGATGTCCTCCAGCTTGTCCCTGACACGGAAAGGTTTGGAGCTGCTGGTGTCCAGGTCCCAGGTGAAGTGGCACTGCAGGGCCTTCAGTTTGGACTCTAGTGTTTGACTCTGAGCAGAACTGATGGAGGATGAAAATAACAAATATTAAAACACATCATCAGTAGGTTCATACAATATGCTCTGACGTATGCTATGTTTAGTTAACCACTATTTATCTAATATGCAGGAAGGAAGATATAAATGGAGTGAGCAGTATTGGATGGACAGGAAGGAAGGAGGTATTTAATATAGAGCAAGGAAATAAAGAAGGCTGCTCCAAAGAAAAAGTATGGTTGAAGGAGAGGAAAGTTAAAAAAAGCAAGAATAAAGTAAGAAAGGAGGGAATGAAAACATCATCATTGACTTGTAGGATCCTCAATATTAATATTTTGGACTCAATAATAAAACATTAAATGAATCATAATGGTACTATTTATTCTTACAATATGAAATGCAGAAGCAGCCACTCACCTCATCATTTATCTGTTTCCTCCACTCAGTAGGTAGATATTAGATCGTTGCTGCGATCGCTGCCACAATGTCAGTAATGTCTAATAGCTGCTTCGCTTTAAATGCCCCACTTTTAGTGGCAGGCCCACTGCAACACTCCAGTGAGTTTTCAAGTTCCCTTTTTTAGGAAACAAAAGTAAAGCCACGTTAACCTTGACTTTCGTTTACTACAAATGAAAACTTCTGGTATTTCTGTCACATTTCCTGCCAGTACTATAAAACTGTGTAACCATATGAATGTCTCGTATAGTAACCACCAAAAACAAACAACTTAAAGACGATTTCTGCGTGTACAAAATGCATATTTAATATGATTAGTATTGTATACAACTGAAACACATGCTTAACATACTTTTTATGAATACAATCAGTTGCATGTGGAGATAATATTCAGGTTATACATCAAATGAACTATTACATCATCCACCAGAGAGTTTGATTTCCCACAGCTCCAAAGCTTACAGCAAAGCAAATGTAGCAAATGAGTATTATTGGGAGTATATCTATGTTCACAGGGTCCTCAGTTCCTCAGTTTATTATTCTGTTAACACACACTAAGGGCTCTATCTTGCACTCAGCGCAATTGACTTTGTACTCTGGCGCTTGTATAATTCCTATTTTGCACTCAACGCACATTGGAATTTTCCCTCCACTGACGCACGTCCTTAAATTAGGGAATGAATTTGCGCTCCGGGGGGGCGGTTCAGCGAAAAGAGGAGGCGTGTTCCAGCGCAAACGTTCCCTGGTGCTATTTTGCTGTTTCAGAAAACAATTCCGCCACAGACCAGGAAAAACCTAGTCTAAAGTCAGTGGCGCTTGTTCAGATGCTGTTTTAAGGGCGCAGACTTGAGGAGATGTGCCTGAGAGGCAGCAGCAACATCACCACCCGGTCAAGACGGGCATTAATACTTTGCCGCATCCCGGACAGCTCCCGCTCCAGCATGTCAAACCCGGTTTGCTGCAGGAACGGGTGGTCCTCCGGCGTGTAGCGGGTCTGGATCCTCTGCACCTTGGTGTTTGCGCCGCTCCCTCCTCAGCTCGCCGTTGCGCACTGCTCGGCCCATGCGCACTGCTCCCGAGGCCAGGGTCTTCTTCCTGCGAAGCTGCGTTACATTGTTTTGATTTATTGTATGGCTGTGTTACATTTATTTCATGTCAATAATGTCACTACTCTGTATTTTACGGCTCTGACGAGAACGTCGGTCTCCTCGGCTGTGAACCGCTCCTGTCGTGCGCCTGGCCAATCCGCCGTTATAATAGCAATCCGCCATGGAACAAGCGCGCCTGCTTTTAAAGGGAATGTGAGATGACGCTCTGATTGGTTTATTCCACGTTACGCCCAAACCACACCTATGACTAATGTAGCTACTTCAGACCAACCCATTTTAGATTTGCGCCGGGCGCAAGAGTCATTTATCCCGCTGGCATAATAGCAACAGCGCCAAGATCCGCCCACAAAGCTACTTGCGTTTTGCGTTTGATATTTGCGTTTCAGATCGGCAAGATAGGACCCTAACCCTCCTACTGCGGTCAAAAGCCTCCCTCACCCTGAGAATATTGATGTATTTAGATATATTGGTCACTAGATGAAGCCAAATGAACCACTTGAGTCATAGTGGCTGACATTTCTTTAACTCTATTAATGTCTTTAACAAATGTTTCTCTGGTTTACTCATGATTTGTTTTCATTTTATTGTTCAGTTTGCCTCCATTTACTTGTACTTTCCCCTATAGACCTTCTACATGTGTCAGTGTGCTGACATTGAGAAGGAGGCCTGAATCAGAGCTTTCCAGATGCCTTTTGGTATTTGTAGTCCTCTAAGCCAGTGGTTTTCAAACTGGTGTCCAGGGACCAACAGGGGTCCTGGAGTGAGTTGCAGGGGGTCCCCAGCAGAAGGAAAAATATTATATTTGAAGTTTTATGACATTTTCTGGAAGTTGGAACAACGAGGGAAGACATACGACTGGATGTTTTTATTGATTGTAATTGAAAGTGATCCTAGTTTATGGAGGCTTTATTATATTCAAACCTAAAAGTGAAGCAAAAGACAACATCCTGTCAAATTGGGGGTCTGTGGTCTAATGTGAATCTATTGTGGGGGTCCCTGACATGGAAAAGGTTTGGGAAACCCAGCCCTAACCTGAACCCTGGGAACATAAGGACCCTGTATTATACTCTCATATTAACTTAAAAATATAGTAAATCAACACAACAGGAATAAAGGAAACACTTTGATTACAAGAGTTAAAAAAAGAACATCTGATCAAAAACATGTAATTAACTGAATGACATCATCCACAGTGGATGGTAACACTGGCAAGCTAGCAAGTAGCATCAGCAAACATTGTGTTAATAAGAAATCTGCATGTTTCTCCAACAGTTTATGTGATTTTGTGTTTGAATGTGTAACCCTGGAGACATTCATTCACACCAGGTAAACATTAAGACTGATCAAATTGTACACACCAGAGAGTCAAAGTATAATAATAAAATCTACGCGCAATTTTTGGGTCCATCTACAATAAGGTATTCACATTAATATACAGGTTTCTTTAAGTAATGCAATACCTGCATTTTTTTCTGGGTTTAGAATCAGTCCTGTTAAAAACATTATGGCCCTTGCAGGTTTGACAGGAACTCCTCTATTTCTCTACACATTTGGTTCATGTTTCTGTCTCTAATCTGAGTATCTCTGCTGCCATCATGTGATATGTGATTGACGTGTCGCTATCTCTATGATTATTGAATCGATGCTGCGTTCGCTGCCACAATGTCAGTGATGTCTAATAGCTGCTTTGCTTTAAATGCTGTGATGTTGCTGAACCGGTAGAACATGAAATGTTCATAATGACATCAAAAAGACTTTCAGAGGCGGGACATTTGCAGGAACTTATACTACATAATAGGGTATATTGTTGGATGGAATTCAGGGACGGATTAATGAGGTTAATTTATTTTGAGAAGCTGTGTCATTGTGATCCCAATGCAAGATTCATAATAATTACTTTAATTAATGCATGTAGTGCTTTTGTAATTGAGCCAATAACACCACACCAACATTACCATCAGAATTCAGTTTAATCACAGCTTTCTTTTGTTTTCAATATGTTTTTTGGGGCCTTTTTGCCTTTAATTGACAGGACAGCTCAAGATAAACAGGAAAGAGGGGGGATGATACACAGCAAAGGGCCACAGGTTGGACCCTGCAACAAGGACTCTTGGTACATGGGGTATCTACCAGGTGAGCTACCAGGGAGACCCTTGTAAGACAAACTGCACAATGTCTGACCTGGAAGTAGCAGAATAGGTGGGTCAGCTCAGTGGATAACTCCATATAACTACAGAAGTCATCATCTTTATATAAATCCTTTTACTTAAAACTGTATTTTGGGTTGAGGGAAGCGTAAAGGGCACATGATGGGAGTACTATCCACCCCAATGCCCCACTTTCAGCGGCAGGCCCACCCCGATACTCCAGTGAGTTCTGAGCATTTTAAGTTTCCTTTTCTGGGAAATGAAAGTAAAGGCATGTTAGCCTTGGCTTTTGTTTGCCATGAATGAAAACTTCTGGTATTTCTGTCACATTTCCAGCCAGCACATAACATGGGTTACATTATTTTAGGTGGCTCACCTTGCCACATACCAGGGTGTGGTTACTGGGCATTTATGACGGGAGTCTGATTCATATGATGATGTGAATGAGTCCACACTAGAGGACTTCATTGGGTTCTTGATTGGTTTTGACTTTGCTGTGGGCGGTCAAAAAATAAACCCAGAATTCAGCTCGTACCCACCAAAAGGATGAACAACATAAAGAAGATTCCTCAGTGTACATGATGTATATTTGATTTGATTGGTATTGTACAACTGAGACACAACATAACATTATTAATATGAATACAATCAGTTCTATCTTGTGATAATATTCAGGTTATAAATCAAATTAACTATTACATCACCAATAAGAGAAATTCACAACAAAGAGAAATTCCTTAGAGAGTATTATGTTCTTATATAAACTTAAAATATGATACTAAAGAAAACAAACACGTCAGGAATATAGTAAATGCTATGGTTGCATGAGAGTTAAAAAAAGAACATCTGATCAAAATCTATGTTAATTAATCAGGATTATTTATGACATTTGAATATATAAACAGTGGATGTTAACTCCAGCAAGGTAGAAAGTGGCGTTAGCAAACATTGTGTTAATAAACAATCTGCTTGTTTCTATGACAGTTTATGTGATTTTTTGTTTGTATGTGTAACCCTGGAGACATTCATTCCCACCAGGTAAACATTAAGACCGATCAAACTGTACAAGAGAACGAAAGTATAATAATCTACACATCTACACACAATATTTGGGTCCATCTACAATAAGGTATTCAAATTAATATACAGGTTTCTTTAGGTAATGCAATACCTGCATTTTTTCCTGGGTTTAGAACCAGTGCTGTTAAAAACATTATGACTCTTGCAGGTTTGACAGAAACTTCTCTATTTCTCTCCACATTCTGTCTTTCTTTCTGTTTCTAATCTGAATCAGAACTCTGATGCTTCTCTCACGAAAGGAGGACTCATGTGGTATCTCTGCTGCCCTCATGTGGTACTGTGTTGCCCTGTCGCTGTCGTTTAGATGATAGAATAAATGGTTTGAGTAGCTGGATAAAGCATCTGTTTGTCTGCAGGTTCCAGATCTCTTTCTAGCAGTTCCTGGAATATTTGGTCAGCTTTAGCCTGGCTGTACTTTGAGTTTGTGTACATCTTTGCGAGGTCTATTTTCTTCACAAGAGAAGAATGAGGGTAAAGAGAAATCACCTCCTCATGGAGACTGAGTGCTCTCTCTATTCTGCTTCTATCCATTACGTCTTGGTCAGTATTCCTGAAATAAATCCATTTGTAGCAGAGTGCAACACAGCTCTTCAGATAACGTACATCTGGATGTTGTTTCAGAGCCTCCTCTGCCAAAGTAATGGCCTCATCTACAGATACGTAGTTTCTGTTCATTTCCAGCCAGCACATAACAAGGATTATATTCTTTTAGGTGGCTCACCTTGCCTTATACCAACTCTCTCCTCCTTCCCAGTCCATTCACTCACCTGAAGGCTGCAAGCAATCAGAGATTGTTGTCCTCAGTTTTGCTTCGTAGTGTGAATACTTCAGCAAGGGCTGGACTGGGACAAAAAATCGTCCCGGGAATTTTGAGCCGAGACCGGCCCACCAGGTGTTGATGGAAAGACAATGAAGCCTATGAATGAAAACAAACTTTCTTGTGACAATGCTTGTACACTGTCTTGTTGGTGTATATGTACTTGTCTAATAAACTAACTGTCGGCCGCGAGTCTCTCCTCCTCCTGCCTCCTCTTCCCATTACTATTACTAGTACCATTAGTAAAAAAAAAAAAAAAAGAAGGCCTGTCCCAAAATCACCATCGGCCCACTGGGCAAATGCCCGGTATGCCCGATGGCCAGTCCAGCGGTGACTTCAGCACAGTATTGTTGCTGTAGCACAAATGACTGTAAGGTTGGTGGTTCAAATTCCAATTCTGGCTACTATCACAGCCTTTACTACTGCGACTGCTACAACTGCCACAGCTATGGTCGATAATTAAGCGTTTCAAATTCCAAAACTTTAAAAAACTCAAAATCAATAACCTGACTTTCATATGTTCTTGCATCTGAAGGTCAATAATTTGACACTATTTTTCTTGCCGTTTACAAGGTTTACAATGAGTCTATGTGACAATAATACATATATCATATATATATATATATATATATATATAACACAATATAGTTAAATAGGGTCATGACGGATACAGGACAGATGTCAGTGCTGTAGATACAGGGCAGAGGTCAGTGCTGTAAATATAGGGCAGATGTTTGTACTGTCTACTTCATTCATATAATAGTAACAATAATTATATTATTAATATTAACTTCATTTCATAAGTTTTAGTGACATACAATAATTAAAAGCAGCAATCAGACTCTATCAGTTCTCTATATTTAAATATTTTACTGTAATGTTTTCTTTCCTATCAAAATCTCAAATACTGTACATCCCTGGCGACATTTGGACACTTGACGTTAAGTACTTTATTGTCTTTGGCTTCACCACAAATACACAATACAACATTATATATAAGACAATAGTAAAAAAAATATTACAATTATGCGATGAAAGAAACCCTTTAAGATTACACCCCCACTAATATTGTGCTCAGATTTAACAATGTATGAAATATCATAGTTTTATGTTTCACCAAAGCAAATTCCACTTTAGTATAAATATCTCGTTTTAAAACTTTAAATACTGAAGAAAAACATTAACCCATATAGATCTTAAGAAAAGACGGCTCCCCCACTTAGAGTCTCGACTCCGGGTTCACTCCTGTTTTCCTGCCTCCAGATGAAACAGTCCACCCTCCCCAAACCTGATTTACCTTTGCTTCCCTTTGCTAGTGAGTATGTATAGATTTCTTTATCTAAATGCAACACCTCCATTCTGGGTTTAGAACCAATGCTTTTAAAAACACTGTGGCTCCTACAGGTTTGTCAGAAACTTCTCTATTTCTCCACACATTCGGTTCCACTTTTTGCCTTTAGTGCTCTTCAGAAAACTGATGCTGCTTTTCCTATAGAAGGTTTGTTGTGGTATCTCTGCTGCTTTCATGTGATATTGCAGTGCCTTGCTTCTATCGTTTCGATTGAATAAAACGTGTGCATAGTTGTTGTAAATCATCTGTTTGTCTGCAGCTTCTAGATCACTTTTTAGCAGTTCCTGGAATATCTGCTCAGCTTTAGCCTGGCCGTGACTTGACTTTGCGTATATATTTGTGAGGTCTATTTTCTTCACAAGAGAAGAATGAGGGTAAAGAGAAATCACCTCCTCATGGAGACTGATTGCTCTCTCTATCATATTTTTATTTGGGCGACTATCCCTGGAAAGAATTATCTTCCATTTGTAGCAGAGTGCAACACAGCTCTTCAGATAACGTACATCTGGATGTTGTTTCAGAGCCTCCTCTGCCAAAGTAATGGCCTCATCTATGGATAAATACTTTCTGTAAACCCACAGTAATGCTTTCATACCGCTGTAGCTGCTCACAGGATTCCTCAAAACCTGTCTGCCTAACTCACGTGCTTCATCTTCAATACTTTCTCCTTTCTTACCACGTTCTTCGAGGTATTTAGCAGCGAGGTAAAAGTTCTCTGGATCCTGTTCCTTGGCAATTCTCAATTTCTGCAAGATGTCAGCCTCAGGCCCTTCGTTGTAAGAAGCACTCTCTAATGCTAAGACACGGCTGGTGTTCCACTCCACCATGTCCGGCTGCATCCTGATGGCTCTCTCAAAGTAATCTGCAGCCAGCAGCTTTTGGTCTGTGCTGAACTTCATCAGGGTCCAGGCTTTTTCAGCGTAGATCTCTGGATGGAGCTCGTCCTGGGATGGAGATGGATATTTTTTCATCAGGGCGTCGACCTTTGACAGGTACGCCTGACTCTCTTCTTGTTTTCCCAGGTGGTGGTGCAGCCAAGCCAGGTTCCCGTAGTTCACCACTAACCAGCGACCCTCTTCTGCTCCTCTTGTCAGGCGGAGGGCCTCTGTAGCCTGGTTGAACAAACTCTGGGCGTCTTCAGTGAACCCCAGCTTGTACTGAATGTACCCCCGCAGGTTGTAAATGTGACCCAGCCAGCTGTTTCCCTCCTCGGGGCCGATGTCCTCCAGCTTGTCTCTGACACGGAAAAGTTTGGACCTGCCAGGGTTCAGGTCCCAGGTGAAGTGGCACTGCAGGGCCTCCAGTTTGGACTCCAGTGTTTGACTCTGAGCAGCACTGATGGAGGATAAAAATAACAAAGTTAAAACACATCATCAGTAGGTTCATACAATATGCTCTATGCTATGTTTAGTTAACCACTATTTATCTAATATGCAGGAAGGAAGATATAAAGGGAGTGAGCAGTATTAGATAGACAGGAAGGAAGTCGGGAAGGAAGGAGGTATTTAATATAGAGCAAGGAAATACAGAAGGCTGCTCCAAAGAAAATGTATGGTTGAAGGAAGGAACGAAACATTGAAAGAGAAATAGAGGAAAAGAAGCACACGAGGTAAGAAACAGAGAGGAAAGTAAACGAGGTAAGAAAAAAGAAAGAAAGTAGCGAATGAAAACATCGTCATTGACTTGTAGGATCCTTAATATTAATATTTTGGACTCGATAATAAAACATTAAATACATCATAATGTTACTCTTTATTTACTTTTACAATATGAAATGCAGAAGCAGCCCCTCACCTCATCATTTATCTGTTTCCTCCACTCAGTAGGTAGATATTAGTTCGTTAGGCTGATTATTGCTCTCGATGCTGCGTTCGCTGCCACAATGTCAGTGATGTCTACTAGCTGCTTTGCTTTAAATGCCCCACTTTTAGCAGCGGGCCCACCACAACACTGCAGTTAGTTTTGAACATTTTAAGTTTCCTTTGTTAAGAAACGAAAGTAAAGCCACGTTAACCTTGACTTTCGCTTACTACAAATGAAAACTTCCTGTATTTCTGTCGCATTTCCTGCCAGTACTGTAAAACTGTGTAACCACATGAATGTCTTGTATAGTTACCACCAAAAACAAACAACTTAAAAACGATTTCTGCGTGTACAAAATGCATATTTAATATGATTAGTATTGTATACAACTGAAACACATGCTTAACATACTTTTTATGAATACAATCAGTTGCATGTGGAGATAATATTCAGGTTATACATCAAATTAACTATTACTTCATCCACCAGAGAGTTTGATTTCCCACAGCTCCAAAGCTTACAGCAAAGCAAATGTCATATACAGAGTATTATTGGGAGTATATCTATGTTCACAGGGTCCTCAGTTCCTCAGTTCATTATTCTGTTAACACACATTAACCCTCGTACTGCGGTCAAAAGCCTCCCTCACCCTGAGAATATAGATGTATTTAGATATATTGGTCACTAGATGAAGCCAAATGAACCACTTGAGTCATCGTGGCTGACATTTCTTTAACTCTATTAATGTCTTTAACAAATGTTTCTCCGGTTTACTCATGATTTGTTTTCATTTTATTGTTCAGTTTGCCTCCATTTACTTGTACTTTCCCCTATAGACCTTCTACATGTGTCAGTGTGCTGACATTGAGAAGGAGGCCTGAATCAGAGCTTTCCAGATGCCTTTTGGTATTTGTAGTCCTCTAAGCCAGTGGTTTTCAAACTGGTGTCCAGGGACCAACAGGGGTCCTGGAGTGAGTTGCAGGGGGTCCCCAGCAGAAGGAAGAATATTAGATTTGAAGTTTTATGACATTTTCTGGAAGTTGGAACAGCGAGGGAAGACATACGACTGGATGTTTTTATTGATTGTAATTGAAAGTGATCCTAGTTTATGGAGGCTTTATTATATTCAAACCTAAAAGTGAAGCAAAAGACAAAATCATGTCAAATTGGGGGGTCTGTGGTCTAATGTGAATCTATTGTGGGGGTCCCTGACATGGAAAAGGTTTGGGAAACCCAGCCCTAACCTGAACCCTGGGAACATAAGGACCCTGTATTATACTCTCATATTAACTTAAAAATATAGTAAATCAACACAACAGGAATAAAGGAAACATTTTGATTACAAGAGTTTAAAAAAAAGAACATCTGATCAAAAACATGTAATTAACTGAATGACATCATCCACAGTGGATGGTAACACTGGCAAGCAAGTAGCATCACCAAACATTGTGTTAATAAGCAATCTGCATGTTTCTCCAACAGTTTATGTGATTTTGTGTCCTGATCAATTTGAAGTCTGATCGTGTTAATTAACAAATCAGTTTGTTTCAACAGAATCTCTATCAAAGGATTCATTTGCAAGGTGAAGTCAATCTGCCCTAAATCGGTCCAAACGTCTCCATTTTCCAATTGTGTATGTAATCAAATTAATATACAGCTTTGTTTAATTAACGCATCACCTACTGGTGTTCTGCATTTAAACCAGTGCTGTTAAAAACACTATGGCTCTTGCAGGTTTGACAGGAACTCCTCTATTTCTCTAGACATTCGGTTCCTGCTTCTGCCTTTAATCTTCTCCAGGACTTTGATGCTGTTCTTACGAAAGAAGGATTGTTGCGGTATCTCTGCCGCCTTCATGTGATATTTTATTGACCTGTTGCGATCCTGTCGATCAAAGTTTAAATACTTTGCGTAGTAATGGTAAATCATCTGTTTGTCTGCAGGTTCCAGATCACGTTCTAGCTGTTCTTGGTATATCTGCTCAGCTTGAGCCTGGCCGTGACGTGACTTTGCGTATATATTTGCGAGGTCTATTTTCTTCACAAGAGAAGACTGAGGGTAAAGAGAAATCACCTCCTTAATGAGACTGATTGCTTTCTCTATCATGCTTTGATTTGGGCGACTATCCCAGGAAAAAATGATCTTCCATTTGTAGCAGAGTGCAACACATCTCTTCAGATAACGTACATCCGGATGTTTTTCCAGAGCCTCCTCTGCCAATTCAATGGCCTCATCTACAGATACATCGTTTTTGTAAACCCTTAGTACTGCTTTCATACCGCTGTAGCTGCCAACAGGGTTTCTCAAAATCTGTCTGCCTAACTCACGTGCTTCATCTTCAATACTTTCTCCTTTCTTACCAAGTTGTTCAAGGTATTTAGCAGCGAGATACAAGTTCTCTGGATCCTGTTCTCTGGCAATTCTCATTTCCTCCAAGATATCAGCCTCCAGCCCTGTGTCGCTGTGCTTAAAGGCACTCACAAATGCTAAGACACGGCTGCTTTTCCACTCCACCATGTCTGGCTGCATCCTGATGGCTCTCTCAAAGTAATCTGCAGCCAGCAGCTTTTGGTCTGTGCTGAACTTCATCAGGGTCCAGGCTTTTTCTGCATAGATCTCTGGATGGAGCTCGTCCTGGGATGGAGATGGATATTTTTTCATCAGGGCGTCGACCTTTGACAGGTAAGCCTGACTCTCTTCTTGTTCTCCCAGGTGGTGGTGCAGCCAAGCCAGGTTCCCGTAGTTCACCACTAACCAGGGACCCTCTTCTGCTCCTCTTGTCAGGCGGAGGGCCTCTGCAGCCTGGTTGAACAAACTCTGGGAGTCTTCAGTGAATCCCAGCTTGTACTGAATGTACCCCCGCAGGTTGTAAATGTGACCCAACCAGCTGTTTCCCTCCTCGGTGCCGATGTCCTCCAGCCTGTCTCTGAGACAGAAAAGTTTGGACCTGCCAGGGTTCAGGTCCCAGGTGAAGTGGCACTGCAGGGCCTCAAGTTTGGCCTCCAGTGTTTGACTCTGAGCAGCACTGATGGAGGATAAAAATAACAAAGTTAAAACACATATGCAGTAATATAGTGTCCTTCATGTTGTGCTATGTTCAGGATAATGTTCTCATTTCATTTGGAGGAAGCAGACACTCACCTCATCATCCAGCTGGTAGTTTTCTAAATATGAGCCTCTGGTTTCTGCTCTTTATATAGCTGCTGCTTTGGGTGCGGCAGTGTAAAATCACTAATGTTCAACTCCTGCAGAGCTGTAAATGATTAGATCCAATCAGGTCAGGTCGGGCACTGGATTCTGACTTTCTTTTCCCACTAATAGAAACCTACAACACCGTTTCTGTCATACTGACACAACAGATCTGCACAGAGCTCTGATTATCAGACTTTTATATTTCTACATATAAAATCTAAACTTTGTCCCTTTTATCAGCAGGTATCACACAAGTCTCAATCCTTGCAATCCCAACACGCCCTTCAAGTCTATAATAATATGATGATGTCTATTTTATAATATAACAGAACAATGTAACCTTATGAAAGAAAATGGAAATCATAATTTTTTTGTCTTCTGCACAATACAAACTGATGTATTTAAAAATTGTAATCCTGCTAATAATCCCGATTTTTACTAAATGTAACTGTAATCTGATTATGACTTCTTCTGAAATTATTTCCGCATATATATATAATGGAATAAACTGGTTTGGGGAGTAACAGATTACATGTAACTGAGTTAATCAGGATACAAAACACTGTAATCAGCAACAGAAAAAGACAATCAGATTACAGTTACATTTAGTAAAAATGGGGATTATAAGCAGGGTTACAATTTTTAAATACATCAGTTTTTATTGGGCAGAAGACAAAAAAAATGTGATTTCTATTTTCCTTTATAAGGTTACACTGTTCTGTTGTCTTATAAAATACACATATTATTATTATAGACTTGAAGGGCGTGTTGGGATTACAAGGTTTGAGACTTGTGTGATACCTGCTGATAAAGGGGACAAAGTTTAGATTTTATATGTAGAAATATCAAAGTCAGATAATCAGAGCTCCGTGCAGATCTGTTGTGTCAGTATGACAGAGACGATGCTTTACGTTTCTATTAGTTGGAAAAGAAAGTCTGAATCCAGTGCCCGACCTGACCTGACTGGATCTGGAAGTATGATTTTTGAGTTGACCTTTTGTGATAAAGGTAATGATACAACGATAATAAAGTTAATGTTTTTAATGAATTATGAACATTTACTGAGGTCAGTATTGTAAGATGAGATTTATTTTGTGAATTACTTTACCATGTTTATGGAATTATTGCATAAATTAATTAAGGGTAATTACATATATAAGCATATTTGTATTCTGTTCTGCAATGTAGATGAGGAACTACATAAGGTGCAAGTACCTGGAAGGTTACCAATGGTTAAGATTGGCGGAGTGATATGATGTTAAGAGAGATCAGTTGTCCTACTGTTAAAAACGGACATTAAAGTGGATCGACTAACCAAGATGAAGTTGTCCCCGTGCTCTTGCTTCACCCACGACCCAGAAGGTAGTTAATCTATTGTTAACGCTAAGAGTAACCAGCGTTACAGTATCATTTATTGATGTAATTCAATAATTAGTTTGATGATAAAGTTACAATAACTTTTACCATGAAGCAACGTCTCAACTGTTTGGTAGAGGCCCATATTTCATTAGCTTTTTTATTAGTGAGGTCAATAAAGGGTTCAAGTCAAAGTTAAGTTGCAAGTGTTTTTCAAAATGTTGTAGAGTCTAAGTCAGATTTATGACTGGAGTCTGATTCATATGACGGTTCCTGATTGGTTTTGACTCTGTTGTGGGCGGTCAAAAAATAAACCCAGAATTCAGCTCATACCCACCAAAAGAATGAACAACATGAAGAAGGTTCCTCAGTGTACATGATGTATATTTAATTTTATAGTACAACTCAAACACAATGTAACATAATGTATATGAATATGATCAGTTCGGTCTTGTGATAATATTCAGGTTGTGCATCAAATTAACTATTACATCACCAATCAGAGTTTTATTTTCCAAAGCTCACAACAAAGAGAAATTCCATAGAGAGTATTATGTTCTTATATAAACTTAAAATATGATACTAAAGAAAACAAACACGTCAGGAATATAGTAAATGCTATGGTTACATGAGAGTTAAGAAAAGAACATTTGATCAAAATCTATGTTAATTAATCAGGATTATTTATGACATTTGAATATATAAACAGTGGATGTTAACTCCAGCAAGGTAGAAAGTGGCATTAGCAAACATTGTGTTAATAAACAATCTGCTCGTTCCTATGACAGTTTATGTGATTTTTTGTTTGTATATGTAACCCTGGAGACATTCATTCCCACCAGGTAAACATTAAGACCGATCAAACTGTACCAGAGAACGAAAGTATAATAATCTACACATCTACACACAATATTTGGGTCTATCTAGGATAAGGTATTCAAATTAATATACAGGTTTCTTTTCCTTTTCCTGGGTTTAGAATCAGTGCTGTTAAAAACATTATGGCTTTTGCAGGTTTGACAGAAACTTCTCTACTTCTCTCCACATTCTGTCTTTCTTTCTGTCTCTAATCTGAGTCAGAACTCTGATGCTTCTCTCACGAAAGGAGGACTCATGTGGTATCTCTGCTGCCCTCATGTGGTACTGTGTTGCCCTGTCGCTGTCGTTTAGATGAAAGAATAAATGGTATGCGTAGTTGGTGTAAAGCATCTGTTTGTCTGCAGGTTCCAGATCACTTTCTAGCAGTTCCTGGAATATCTGGTCAGCTTTAGCCTGGCTGTACTTTGAGTTTATGTACATCTTTGCGAGGTCTATTTTCTTCACAAGAGAAGACTGAGGGTAAAGAGAAATCACCTCCTCATGGAGACTGAGTGCTCTCTCTATTCTGCTTCTATCCATTACTTCTTGGCCAATATCCCTGAAATAAATCCATTTGTAGCAGAGTGCAACACAACTCTTCAGATAACGTACATCTGGATGTTGTTTCAGAGCCTCCTCTGCCAAAGTAATGGCCTCATCTACAAATACATAGTTTCTGTAAACCCACAGTAATGCTTTCATACCGCTGTAGCTGCTCACAGGATTTATCAAAACCTGTCTGCCTAACTCACGTGCTTCTTCTTCAATACTTTCTCCTTTCTTACCACGTTGTTCAAGGTATTTAGCAGCGAGATACAAGTTCTCTGGATCCTGTTCCTTGGCAATTCTCAATTTCTGCAAGATGTCAGCCTCAGGCCCTTCGTTGTAAGAAGCACTCACTAATGCTACGACACGGCTGGTGTTCCACTCCACCATGTCCGGCTGCATCCTGATGGCTCTCTCAAAGTAATCTGCAGCCTGCAGCTTTTGGTCTGTGCTGAACTTCATCAGGGTCCAGGCTTTTTCAGCGTAGATCTCTGGATGGAGCTCGTCCTGGGATGGAGATGGATATTTTTTCATCAGGGAGTCGACCTTTGACAGGTAATCCTGACTCTCTTCTTGTTCTCCCAGGTGGTGGTGCAGCCAAGCCAGGTTCCCGTAGTTCACCACTAACCAGGGACCCTCTTCTGCCCCTCTTGTCAGGCGGAGGGCCTCTGTAGCCTGGTTGAACAAACTCTGGGAGTCTTCAGTGAACCCCAGCTTGTACTGAATGTACCCCCGCAGGTTGTAAATGTGACCCAGCCAGCTGTTTCCCTCCTCAGTGCCGATGTCCTCCAGCTTGTCTCTGACACGGAAAAGTTTGGACCTGCCAGGGTTCAGGTCCCAGGTGAAGTGGCACTGCAGGGCCTCCAGTTTGGACTCCAGTGTTGTTGCACCCTGAACAGTACTGATAAAGAATAAACATGTCAACTAGAGAATGCAGCTATTGAAGAAAATAGTAGGTGTGTATGTTAGAAGTTTAAAGGCTGACGCTAAACTGCATTAATATTGCAGGACAGCTGTACTTGCAAGATCACAAAATTGGTAGAATCTATCTTACCTGCCTTCAATCTATGTGTTAC